GGAAAAAAATGTAAAAAAAAAGAAAAAAAAGGAAAAAAAACAAAAAAATTATTTTATTCTAAATAATTTTACATATCAAAAAGGAAACAGTAAATGATTTACATAATTGTACTAAACATTATCCCTTCATTTTCTATCTCTTTCCCTTCTCCCCCTTTCTCTTCTTTGGTTTGTTTATTTATTTATTTGTTTGTTTGTTTGTTTGTTTGTTTGTTTTTTTGATTATTAATTTTTGAAATGATTCAATTATTTCTCATTCAATTATAAATCCCTTTAGGCTATTTGAAATGGTGAAATGATTCAATTGAGTATAGTAACAATAATAATAATAATAATAACCATAGTGATATGCTTACATAAACTCATTATTTGACACCATTACAGTTTTAGTTTTTTATTTTTTTCTGTTCTCAACTGTCAAATTTTACATTACCCCATAGTGTAATACAAAGTAATAGACTGATTATAAATTATTATGATAGAAAAGTCAAAACGATAAATCGACTTTTTACACAGTATACATATATGTCAATAAAAAAGAGACTGATCAATTGTAGTCTTAAATATCAATTAAAGAGATTTAAGTAAAACAATACCAAGTAAATTTAAACTTCATCCTATTGCATAAGCAAGTGACGATTAGAACTCAATGGTTAACTGGATAATACGATGGCATTGGTATCGACACGGTACTAAGTTTAAATTCTAGAGTGAACATTCATTGTTAGGTGAAGGTACATGTAGTTGACGAGTTCCAAATAGAATGATAACATATGTCCTGTTATCCACTGTTGCTCAGAAAGTTTTAAGATTTATCATTTCAATGGTAAATCATTAGAAAATAGGTAATAAAAAAAAATGAAATTTCAATGAATTAGATAAATAAAGTTTATGCTGATGATGATATTGTTTAGAAGAACAATGAAAGCTTCATGATCAAACTATTCAATTCAGAGAACAAAACCCCATCAAGATAAAGGGAAAGCTTTAGTTCTATAAAAAGCTTACTTCATACTAATTATCTAAGTAATTTGTGAAGATTTAGAAGATATAGAGATAGTTTATAACTTGAACTAAGATGTATATTACTGTCTTATTTACTACTTTGTTTACTTATGCTTTTTACTCCCAGTGGAACATAGGCAGTCGACAAGCATTAAACAACCTACTCTGTCGTGTGCCTTCATTCCTAGTTCTATACAATTATTGTTCATTCATCTTACATCTGTCTTTATTTCTCCGCGTAATGTGTTCCTCGATCTTACTCGTTCCTTATGGCCTTCAAGATCACAAGTTAGGGCTTGCCTTGTGACGCAGTCCGGTGCTTTCCTCAATGTGTGTCCTATCCACTTCCAGCGCTTCTTTTTGATTCCCCCCTCCACTGGGATCTGGTTTGTTCTCTTCCATGGTAGGTTATTGCTGTTACTTGTTGATAGTGAACAGATCCGGTGTATTTTGCGTAGTCAACTGTAAATAAACACTTATATCTTTCGTAGTTCTCCGAATTTCTGTCCCATACAGTAGAACTGTAGAACAGTATCTGTCTAGTACTGTTAAATTTTCATATGTTTTAAATAGTGTATACATTTGTACACGAACAGAATATACTATATGTTAAGCATACATAGAAGCTGTAAATGCTAATATAAGAAGGCGATTGTGTGTAATTGAATTATTTGTCTAGTCAAAGTCGTCTATCACAGATGAAGTTGAAAACGAAGATTATTAGTTCTTGAATTAGAGATCTAGATGACCTGATCGTTTGATCTTCTTATGTGAATATAATTGGTTTGATATTCTTGTGTTAATTAATTTAACTTGAATTGATGTACACATATACCATGTTCTTCTTTGCTTATGAATAATAAAAGAATGTCATTGAAAAAATATCAACCAATATTCCCTTTTTAGATTGCCTGACTAATTTAGCTTATCAGTATAGGTTTGTGGAGATGATCACGTTTTTGATTAAGGTCATGAACTGATTGATGGATGCGCACTACTGAGGAGTCGCATACTAGGACGAAATGGTTGTCCAGTGCTTCCAGGTTTTCAATGATGCTCTAACATTAATCGGTTCATGATCTTAATCAAAACATCATACATATTTATTTTCCAAATGAATACGTAAACACTTTTTATTCAGTTACATTTCAACTATCTATTTTTCATTTTGTATAGATACTATTGAATGTTCATTATTGTATTATCTTTAATCATCATTAGGTTGTGTTAAAATTAAAAAAAAAAAAACATAAGGAAACAGATTAGTCATTAGAAGTAAAAATGGATAGTGGTTAGCCATGGAATCTAGGACGGGCGTTTCATCCTATTTGAAACTTATCAACTCGATGTACATGTACCCAAGAGTTGATATTCACTCTGGTATATATATGCCAATAAGAAATTGATCAATTGTAGTCTTAAACATCAATGAAAAGATTCAAATAAACAATACTAAGATTATTCATTGTTCCGTTTAAAACTAACCGATAAGTACCCAACTTATTTTACAACCATTCAATAAACCAACCACCCACCCGCCCATCCACCAACCAACTAACTAACCAACATACACACATACATACAAATACACATACACATAAATTTACATGAAACAATCAGTAAAAACCAAATAAATAGTTATACAAATTATGAAAGAATTACAGAGTAATCTGTCATATTCACATGTTGTTAATGAAGATTAGGTCTTGTTCACCGATGTTTTTTGTTGTTGTTGTTGTTATTTTGTAAAAACAAATATTTCATTGTTTTACTATTTTGTTAACGGAAACATTGCTAATATTAACTTGGTAACAATTGATTTATACTCTACAACAGATATATCTTTATATTTGTATTTGTACACATTTTTGTTTATTAAAAATGTAATACAATATTGGTCAACAATACATTATTACTATTAGTAGTAGTAGTAGTAGTGGTGGTGGTGGTAGTAGTAATAGTAGGGGTGGTGGTGGTAGTTGTAGAACTGCCCCGATCTCAGCAGCAACAACAACAACAACATCAACAAAGGCTTCCGATAGTATTTTAATATATTTTGATTTACTACTCGAAGAAACATAAATAATCACACACCCACACCCACACCCACACACACACACAAATAAACATTCCTTTGTAGAAAAAAAAAGAAAGAAAAACCAGAAAAAGAAATTCTTCAGTTAAAACAACAATGGAATCATATCAATGAACGATAAAAGATGAATAATTGACTATATAATGAAAAGAGAACAAGGAGAAGAAGCAGAAGAAGAAGAGGAGGAAGAATACAAAGCATATGTTTACAAACATACATAAATGTAAATTCACTATTGTACTAAAAATATCATGTAGTTTAGGCATGTAAACATAATTACTTACTTACGTCTGTTACTCCTCGTGGAGGAGTATAGGCCGACCACCAGTATTCTCCATTCAACCCTGTACTGAACAATCCTTTCCAACTCTTTTCAGTTGATATTCATCCTTTTCATATGTGATTCTATTTCCTGATGTAATACGTTCTTTGGCCGCTTCCCTTTAGGATTACAAAGTAGCAATTGTCTCGTGATGCAGTTCAGTGATTTGCGTAATGTATGTCCTATCCATTTCCATCGTCTTTTCCTAGTTTCCTCTTCAGCTGGAATTTGGTTTGTTCTCTCCCATAGTAGGTTTCTATAATAATAACTACTTATATAAATATATATATTACTTATTAGAAAATTGATTACCATTATTATTGAGCTACTCGATGAAGATTTTATACTGACATTCTTTTATTTCTATGGAGATACAATCCATGATGAACTTCAGTGATGGTGAAAGTGTGACATATTATCGATGATATTGGATTCGATTTGAATAAGATATATCTAAAGATTAGAGTATGAAATTCATATCATCAAATGATTTACTTAACATTCTCAGGTTACACTTACAGAGAGACCTAATTTCAACTGTTAATGAGATTCAAAGTAATACTAAAATAGATACCTATTGAAATCTTGCTTTTCTACAGCTTTCGAGACGAATTTATATTATGACAATGACTTATACAAAAAGTATGAACTTCAATTTGGTGGTCGAATAGGTATATACTAATTTTAAGAACTAGACTGAATAGTACATAATAGATGGAAAAAATAGAGTGAATATTTGATTTGTGACAAATAGGCTTTCTTTACAGAATTTACTGTCTGTTGCTACCTTGACGTGGTGGTCGGGCTTGCCTATCGTGATGAATCATTCGAAGCTATGTTACCTGGAACAATCGTTCCTACCATACCAGACAGGTCGGTTGAAGAACGGTAAGACTAAAACCAGAAAACCTAAGGTCCGAAGGTGAAGTCGTACTGCTGCCTATACAGAGGTATGATAGCAATAACGTGTTTCCTTCGGACAACTAGCATAACAGCGATGTTGCCTTCCCATAAGGAGGGGTGTAGTTAGAAAAGATTGACCCTAAAAGTGCACATCTCGTCTCCGGCGGCAAGATCTCAACAAGTATAGGGCTAACACGAAATTTACTCACAGAAAAGTTGTTTGTGACCAATCTCAATCAATTGTCCCTTGGGCATTGCAGTCACGATCTCACATCACTAAGATCATCTTTTTAATCCAATTTTCTTTTCAGATACCTCCAGTAGAATCCTTTCACAATGTGAGCAACTAGGAAGTGATAACCACTTTCATACTTCTAATAACACTTAAAACCATTGTATTCAATGCTTATTTTATCATTGTAAAACTTTATTAAATAAACATTAGAGACAGTTGTGTAAGCGATAAAAGATTGAATAAGTTGATTGATGTGGATCCTTTTTAAACAACCAAAAAAAAAAGAAAAAAACACCCCAAATTTTCACAAATAAAGACGAAAAAGATAAAAAAAGAAGAAAAAAGCGACATAGATACAAGACATTATTTTTTTTTTTGTAGAAGTTTTGTCATCATGAAAACCAGATGTTTGTAAAAGTTTTTTCTTTTTTTTGTTTTTGATGTTAAATAATTACCATTTATCATTTTCTATTAACACAGAATTACATGTATGTATGTATGTATGTATGTATGTATGTATGTATGTATGTATGTATGTATGTATGTATGTATGTATGTATGTATGTATGTGTATATATAGATGAACATCAGCATGGAGGTACAATTTACTGATAAAGTCCCATAAGAGAAAGAAACTCCTATTCCAGATTCCGTCGTTAACTTGTATTCAAACTTCGTTCTCATCATCATCATCATCATCATCATCATCATCCAAATCATCATCATCATCATCATCCAAATCATCATCATCATCATCATCATCCAAATCATCATCCAATTCATCATCACCATCCAATTCATCATCATCATCCAAGTCATCATCATTAAGAATATAACTTGTAATAACTTAATTTGTATACACTTATAGCACTGTAATATGACGGAATACATTCAGACAAAATAGGATTAATTCAATAAGAATTTATGATTATGATCTATCACTAATAGTAATTTACAACGTACTTGTAATTATTTTGTTGTTGACTAATTACATAGATGTATCTATTGAAGTTATGAATACATCTAAATTGTGTAAGTTAAACTGAATAAAAGAATGATGGAAAAATGGAAAACATTCCAGTGACTTTCATTTGACAATCCGTAGAGATTATGTTTATTTATATGGGTTATAATGGGTTGTTTGTTTGTTTGTTTGTATTTGTTCAGAAAGTATCATAAAATTAGTATTTATTTCATTCTATGGTAACAGATCGGTAGTAAAATACGACCTAAGGCCAATTTGTAACTCTACTAGTTAGTAAGGGTAAGCTTTCTAACCAACTTAGGCATCGACAGAGATCAGACTAATCATTCACTCTTTTGTATCCTGGATGAACTCAGGTTTCAACTTGAGGTTCACTTAACCTCACCGCATCAACTGATGTGAATGAGAGTTGCAGAAGCAATTGAGCCTATGTAATTTATGTATCTATTTATATACAATGGGGGTGTGTGTGTGGTATCATACAAAGGAAATGCTAACACCATGTCAAATAAAATCAGCGACCTAATGTATCAGGTCGAAGATATGGTAGCAAAACCGGAGTTAGATGAACAATAAACTCCCTTGAGAAAATACTTATGCTTATGTATGTATGAGGAAGCACTGGAGCGGTAGCCATAAGCTTGTAGTGTCAATTACTATGTAAAGCCTATATAACTTATTATGGCTTCCTCAAAGACCAATTTATCCATTCTTCTTAAGTCATATGTTGACCTTGTTAATTATTCGCATGTCAACATTGAATGTTTCTATGTATGCAAATGTGTGTACATTGATTATTCTATTCATCATATATCTGTAACACATTTTCGTGTCACTAAAAATATTGATTAACGCTTGATTAAATCGAATCGGCTCACACATCTACTCCAATGCACATCATTTCACTTCCCTCTCTTCTGTTCGCTTCGTTCCTCTGATTGTCTATCCACATCAATGAGTGTACAAAATATATGTATTCAAACAGCGATTCTCGTATTTCACTTACTTAATTCCGTTATACATTAACACAATTTACATTGATGATTTTATGTGACAATAGACGATATGTGTATTTCAATTGGACTCAGAAATCGGGCCGCTAAAGTGGTGAGTCCATCAATAACATCGTCCGATCTAATTGACGTCAAAATTAATTGCCTGATTAAAGGCTAAATGATATTTATGTAATGTATAACAGTCAGTCTGGTGTAGAAAATACATTTCCAAGGGAATGGTAAACATTTACCCTCCCAGGTGGGTCAATATACCTGTTTACTATATGCTATGAGATGAATGAGATAAAACCTATATGTTACTGGTGTGCATGTAAAGTGTATTTTCTCACAAGGTAAATTTACCTGGTATGCATACTAAGGGATACACAAAGAGAAGTCCGTGTGTTACCTAGTACGTTAGGTGAATATAATAGGATTGTAAGTTAAGTGAATTATTTATGAAGTTCATATGTTTTCCTTAAAATAAAATACAAACAATAAAGACGAACATCATCAGACGGTGAAGCTATAATGTACGAACGAACCAATCAGGTGTAAGATAATAGGTCACAGATTTTGGCGCGAAATTCATTCATACATTTGACTAAATAGAGTTTTGGCATTATAGCTGATGCCAGTTCGTGATGAAAACGCTAAAGCTAATTTCTAACATTAACCATCTACCGTAAATTATCATTCTTATTCACCACATTGGTTTAGAATCCTCATTTAGTACCAGTTATTAGATGGACACTCTCAAGGGCACTCTAGCGTTACTCAACGGTCGTCCATAAATTATAGACTGACCCATCAAACCGGTTTAACATTTACCTACCAAAAAGAAAGTAACATTAACATAAGTAGATAATAATGATCAAACTGCCTGTAATAACATAATGAGAAACTATTGTTGAAAATATTATCCTTAGAAATAATATGTACAATGGTGTCCACAGCTACAATTGACTCATTCAAGAGAAGATTAGACATTCACAGAACCCTATTAGACCATCCGTTTTCCTTACTATGCAAATCTGAATCTTATTTATACATTAAGATTGAAAGAAAAAAAACACAACTGGATTGACAAAAAAACTTATCCTGAAGTTAAACTGATTGTTCTATCCAAAACAATATATATTCTTTAACATAATCAAAGGTTGACAGGTATCCCTTTTATGTTATCATTAACTGTAAATACAAATTTACATCTATCTGTCAAAGCAGTTATATTGGTAGAACAGTAAGGAGAACCTATGTTCGATTCAATGAATATATTCTGAAAAGTATAAGATCAGATGGATTAAAAGCATTCAGTTCGTTCCGTTCTACTATACGGCTGCGAAACTTGGCCTTTAAGAGTAGAAGATATTCGTAAGTTACTAGTATTTGACCACAGGTGCCTTAGAAATATTGCGGGTATCTGCTGGGATCACCGGGTAAGTAATAGTGAGGTTAGACGCAGGGTATTAGGAAATGATGGTAAATCAGTTGATGAGGTTATGAATCTTCATCGACTGAGATGGTTGGGCCACGTGCTGCGTATGCCTGAACACCGATTACCACGACGCGCAATGGTAACCGGTGTTAGGGATGACTGGAAGAAAGTTAGGGGCGGCCAAACCAAAACGTGGCATCAGTGCTTGAAGTCACTAACTTCTGGTCTGAGCCATGTTGGTAGATGCAGACTACCTGGTTGGGGTCAGCGTGACTATCGTAACCAATGGTTGGAGACTCTTGTTGACATGACTCAGAATCGATCACAATGGCGTCGGTGTATTCACTCTCTGTCTTCCTTTAAACTAAGAGATTAAAATCACTTCAAATCTTTCTTTCTACGAACTAATTCTATCTTCCTGTACTATCTCCTTATACACAATCTTTCTTCTATATATTAACACCACTGAATTAACTACTTCTATGAATCCGGTGTTCATCTTGTTGTGCTAATGCGGTATGGCAACTTGGACCGATGCATATACGTGCCTGGTCCTACGTTGCAGCTGACTGACTGACTGACTGTAGTGTAATCTTAAGATATCTCCTTGACACAGGACATGAAGTTAATACATTGAAATCATTCAAGTTGATTAATAAACAATCAATTACAAATCTTTTGAAATTTGCCGAAGTGATAGTGATCAAACATTTAAAATCAGATCTATGTATCCAAAAAGAAGCAGTAATAAATCTTTCTTTGCCGTTTAGGATCGGCAAAGCAAGAGTAGCATATCTACAAGTGAAAAGCATCTGGAAATCAAAACTACTGTTTGTCAATCAACACCGAGTTCAGAATTTTCAATATAAATGTCAGAACAGTCCTGAAGTATGGGGCGGAAACTTGGTGAACTACAAAAGCAATCTTCTAGATAATACATGTGTTTATTAACAGTTGACTACGCAAAATACATCGGATCTGTTGACTATCAGCAACTAATAGCAACAACCTACCATGGAAGAGAACAAACCAGATTCCAGTGAAGGGGGGAATCAAAAAGAAGTGCTGTGAGTGGAAAGCACTCAACTGCATCATAATACAAGTCCTAACTTCGAATCGTCAAGGTAAAAGGAAAAGAGGAAGACCGAGAAACACATTACTCCTCGAAATGGAGACAGACAGACATGAGAAGAATGAACAACAATTGGATCAAACAAGAAAGAAAGGCCAATTTCAGTACCTAATTCTCACGTACGATCGATTTACAGAGGATTTTAGAGAAGACGTGATAACAACCAACGAGATTACTAAGAAGTTCCTTTATTTGTGACTGCTTTACCGTATGCAGACTACCTTCATGAAATGTTATTTATGTTGAAGAAAGAAGTCTGCTAAAAAAGGAACTTTCTTCACTCGATCCCGATTGAAACTAAGGCATATCATAATAATTGTTGCGACCCTAGAACCAGAGTGCACACTAGCAATATTAAAGCTATGTGGTCTAAGCTGAAGGAGTTTTTACGACCATATCATGGCTCGACAGGCCGACTATTACAAAGCTATATGGATGAGTTCCTCTACCGTATGCATTACAATTTCAGATACTCCGAACCTCTCCCAAACCTTGATAAGTTTTTCAACCTTTTAAAAGAAATTTATCCACTTTAATACATTGGTTTTATATAATTTATTTTTACTGTCTACTAGCTGTTTTCTAGATTAGCTAATATTTCTCAGGGTCACTTAGGATTCGTTCAAAGGTTGTTCATGAATTCTAGTCTCACCGCAGCTGATGAGAAGCTGATGAAATGAAATGAATTCATATTATTCTGTACTGATCTTCTATTTTAGCTGACTGACGCATTCCAAGTAAGGACCGGAGTAAGACAAGGCTGTCTACTCTCTCCCTTCCTCTTTCTTCTGATGGTCGACTGGATTATGAAGACCTCGATATCTGAGGGAAAACACGGCATACGATGGACAGCTCAGAACCAATTAGACGACCTAGACTCCGCAGATGATCTGGCTCTTCTATCGCACACACAACAACAAATGCAGATAAAGACAGCCAGCATAGCAGCAGTCTCTGCATCAATATGCCTCAACATACACAAAGGGAAAACCAATGTCCTCAAACACAACACGGAGAACGGCAATCCAATCACTCTTGATGGCGAAACTCTGGAATACGTGGAATCCTTGACATACCTGCGAAGCATCGTCGATAAACAAGGAGGATCAGATGCAGACGTAAATTCGAGGATTGGCAAAGCAAGTGCGGCATTCCTTCCATTGAAGAACATATGGAACTCAAAACAACCTTCAACCAATATCAAAGTCAGAATCTTCAATACGAACCTCAAGGCAGTTCTACTGTACGGAGCTGAAACTTGGAGAACTACAACAACCACCATCAAG